TCATACATAGGTGATCATCCAATGCATTTTCAGAGGCTATAAAATCATACGGAAGGAGATTGTCCATATTTCTTTTTTGGAACAGCCACCTACCTGCCTTTGAGTTTACAGCACATCTCCTTACCCAATAGAACACACCCTAAGTCTAATCCAATTAATGAGACTAGTGCTTATAGATCTTGGTTTTAGATATCTATCTACGTTGGAGACTTGGATAATAATTTTACCTCATCTTCTATTTCTACTCTTGCTGAAATCTCAACAAAGGAATTATCCAATTGTAATAGTTAGAAAATTTCATATCTTTACCTATCATTGCATACTCATATTTTTATAAGGGTTATAAGCATCAGTAACAGGTCAATACAGAAGCTCTAACTTAAGACATCAAGTTTGTTTTCACTTAGTAAATATAGAATATTATAGATATGCTGTTTTCTTATTGGTTTTCCTAACTCTCTACGTGGAAAAAAACCACAGAAATGGAACTTCTCAGTCATTTGAAAGATGAGTCTTCCCTTCAAAGTTTAGATGTGATACTGTGCACTGAATTCCCAGATGCTATAATTGAAATTGTTTCTAATTAGGAAATAATCAAGCTTGTATTGTTTTAAACACCCTGGCTAATCATAAAATGTTGCTTCCTATGTTTAGATGATGCTCTCAAATCATATATGTGTAGTTGAACTTCAAAAAGTGCGAATTTGAAGTGCACCAGCATATTTATATTCAGATTCTCCCTCCACCCCCAACTGGGCTTTCATGGTGAACTCAATCGTTGCTAATCATCACGTTAGCAAGTTTGCTAAAGATGATTAGTGTCACAGGCATTATAAGCAGATACAGTACTTGAACAGAGAGTTCACAGCCTGTGTTTTTCATATAAGTCACCTGAATATTTTTGAGTTCAAGAATTGTTGGAGCCCCAAGCTGGGAGTTCATGGGTCAACTATGTAAGTCACTTGATTTTGACTCTGTTATGCATCAAATCACATGTTAATAAGGTTTTTAACATGTGAATTACCTAAGAAGTAGAAAAATAAATGATAGCTCTAAGTCTTATATAAGAAAAACTGGATAAATTATGTATATTGCATTGAAACAGATGAGGGAGAGAACAGTTCAAAAGCAATATATTATAGGGTATTATTATCATAAGAGTCCAGACTAAAGGTTGCAGAGTGGAGTATACTCGGGGTCCGGGGGGGGTGTGTTGTGGGGGGATTGCATACCGATGAAGGAATTTTTCTTTTATTTTTCAAAGAGAAGAAAGAACTGGGGGTGGGGGTGGGGGGCTGGGAAGGGAGAAAAGTGCAATAATGAATGCATGGAAATCCAAAATCTCTGTAAATTTTCATTAAAATTAATTTAAAAAAAAGAAAAGAGAAAAAAAATACCATTACTGATAAATCTCTGTAAATTGACCAGGAAACACAGTAGATTATAAATAACTTCCCTACCCGTTGACTTTGAAGAAAAGAAGCAACATATACTAATGGCTAACTTTGAAGAGAAGATTTGACTCGTCTTTGTCATTCACACTTTGTACTGAGTCCAGGCAAGAAAATAGTGTATGAACCTGGGACTTCAGCATACTCAATGAGAAAAAACAGATTAACTTTCTCAACTTTGACACTCTGCAATGACTGAGTTCTTGTTGGAAAAGTTGCACTCTATAATTCAGATCTTGCTGACCTTGGACCTTCACCAAAGAGACCTCTGCTCATTAAAAACTGGGGTCAATTTCCACACTTGTTAGAAGTCAAACAATTCTTCCCTAACCATTGAACTCTGGTGGCTTGGTGGTAAGAAGGTGCGCTGCAATCACAAAGGCACATGTTTCAAGTTCGCCAACTGCTTCATGGGAAAAGGATGTGGGCTATCTCTGGTGTAATTAACTGCCTCTGGGTCAGCAATGGGTTGGTTCTGACTCAATGATACACAACAACAGCATTGAACTAAGCTTCTACATTGTTCTGAATCTCCAGTCTTAAAAATCTTGCAGTCTTACTTATTAGCTTTGCCATAACTTTCATTCAATTAACTAATGAAGATGACACAACCTTGCTTGCTGAAATTGAAGAAGACGTACAGCGCTTGCTGCAGAAGATCATGGGCTGGAGTATCTACTATGGATTGAAGCTCAATATCAAGAAAATAAAGATTCTCACCACTGGGCAAATTGGCAGCACCAAGATAGATGGAGAAGAAACTGATGTTGTTAACATTTACAGCTTGCTCAGATCCACAATTAACACTCTTAGCACCAGCAGTCAGGAGATCAAAAGACATTGCCTTGTGAAAATCTGCTGTCAGGGACCACTCCAGAGTGCTGAAGAGCAATGATGTCAGCCTAGAGGCTAAGGAACACCTAATCCAGGACATAAACTTCTCAATTACTTGCAATTTGGCAGAAAGAGCTGGACAATGACTAAAGATGACAGAAGAATAATCGATGCCTTCAAATTGTGCTGGAAAAGTCTTTAACATACCATGGACTGCCAAGAAAACAAATAGATCTGTTTTGGAGAGGGTGAAATCAAGTTTCTCCTTGGAGGTTAGGATTTTGAAACTCCGTCTCACATACTTTGGGCACGTGGCCCGGAGAGACAGGTTCTTGGAGAAGCACATCATGTTTGGAATGGTGGAGGGACAGCACAGGAGAGGAAGACCCTGGATGAGATGGACTGATAGATACAGTGACTGGGCCAATGATGGTAGGTGTGTCAGAAATAGAGAGATTGGCTCAGGACATGGCAGGCTTCAGGTCACTATGGGTTGCAGATGACTCGATGGCACATAACAACAACATCATAAACTTGAGCATTTCTTTAATTATTATTATAATGCAAAATCTGTGTGACTCTAATTTTATAATTTAGCTTGCTTGGCTCCACAGTCGACAGTCTTGGCACCAGCAGCCAGGAAATTAAAAGGCGCATTGCCATGGGAAAGTCTGCTGTTAGGGACCGCTCCAAAGTACTGAAGAGCAATGGTGTCTCTCTGGAGACTAAGGTGCGTCTAATACAGGCCATGGTCTTCGCAATTGCTTGTTACGCATCAGAGAGTTGGAGAATAACCAAGGAGGATAGAAGGAGAATTGATGCCTTTGAGCTGTGGTGCTGGAGAAGAGTATTGAGAATACCATAGACTGCTAGGAAAACAAACAGATTCATCCTGGAAAGGGTTAAACTGGGTGGCTCCTTGGAGGCAAGGATTCTGAGGCTCCGTCTAACATACTTTGGACATGTTGTGAGGCAAGACCTGTCCTTGGACAAGGACATCGTACTTGGGAGGGTGGAGGGACGGCGGAGGGGAAGGCCCTCTATGAGGTGGATTGATTCAGTGACTGGGATAATTGGGATGGGAGTGTCAGAGACAGTGCTGTTGGCACAGGACAGAGCAGATTTTAGGGCTGTTGTACATAGGATCGCTATGAGTCACAAGCGACTCGACGGCACATAACAACAACACAACAACATAGTAAAAAAAAAACAAAACCAACCAAACAAACAAACAAACCCCAAAACCCCAAACAACCCAAAAACATCCAACCCTTGTGTTTTATTTATGAGACTTACATAGGGAAATTAAGTTTTGAAACTATCTCAGTAAACTTCTGTCATTAAGCCGGTAGAAAGAAGAATCTAGAGGTTAATTCTCACATTTCTTTTGAAAAGTTAGACATAGATTTAGACTTTTATTTGCAGTAATTTTACATGGAGGACTTAGGACAATAACATTTATCCTGTCTTCTTTCTTTTTTTTATTTTATTTTACAATCAAGGAGTGCTACACCTCCCACTTTTTATTTTTATTTTCATTTTCTTTCTTTTTTTTTAAAGAAAAAAAAATTCCTTCATTAGTATACAATTCCCACCACCCCCCACCCCGAGTACACTTCTCTATGCAACCTTAATTCTGGATTCCTGTGCTAACCATAATACTCAATCACATATCACTTATAATCTGTTCTTTCCCTCATCTGTTTCAATACAATATACATAATTTATCCAGTTTTTTTTTGTCATATGCCCACCCTGATGTCAGACCCATTCTACAACAGTGGCACTATGCAGTATTTGTCCCTTTGTGACTGAGATATTTCACTCAGCATAATGTCCTGTCTATTTCTAACAAATAGGTTGATGACACTGGAAGACTCTTAGTAAGGACTAAATTGTAGAAACAGTAATTCAATATAGAGAAAGTGGAAAAACACACTAAAATTAGAAAAGTTCCACATATATAGCAATTACAGATTTTTAGGCTTAGACATTGATAACATTGACCAGTAACTTAAAAATATACAAATGTGTACTATTTTTTATTTTGGCTATTCTAAGTTTACCATGGGTAGAACTATTAAGATTAGGGATCCAAACAGGCCAGAAACTTTGTTATACAGCTTTTAATTTCTCTTTTCTTGTTTTACTTTAATTTACACAGTGGAAAATAACTACCGAAGTGGAAAGTGCATTCTAAATGCAAACATTTCGGCAGAGTATCAAATACTATGGAATTACATTTTCATTTATATATATTCATCTGGAGCAAGCATAATGCCAATAAAATTGTGGCTAAAACAAATTCCAAAATCCATTGGCTCATTTCTACTTTTATGGTATCGATCTGCCCTAAGAGAGGAGGCAATCCAAATCTTCTCTGGTTTCTCCTAGAGAACACATTTGCACATTCTTGTACTTAGTTACAATAACCTGAAAATGAGATAATACTAAATGTATTAATAACTAATGGCTCTTCAGAAGGAATTGACTAGCTAGTATAAAATTGGTCCTACACATAAATCTTCCAAGAAACAATCACATTTAGCTTGAAAAATACATGTTTATCCTTTCAAAAGAAGACAATAAAATATTTAAAAAGCTCTTTTTCTTAGATAAATTATTCCTTCAGGTCCCTAACTAGCCAATTTAGATTCCCATTCATGTATATGTATGTATATATATATTTATATAAACACTAATATTTTACCATATTTAATAATCTTTCCTGCAATGGAAACCAATTTCTTTTTCAACTGGAAGTTTAGCAGGAGGCTACAAAAGAAGAACAGAAGATTAGCATTTTTCCATTTCAAGGCTAAACGAAGAAACATGACGTATACATGGTTGTTCTTCAAAACCATTGAAAAAGAGCTTTGTAGAGGCAATTGGCAAGGAGATTTTTGTCTTAAAGAAAATAGAATAATTATAAAGTTCAACTACATCAAAGTCCTTGAATTCAAAATTTGCTTACTGTTTGAGGGAGACCCAGCCTAATTAGGAAATTTTTGCTTTTTCTGCTACGCAAAATCTTGCATTCACATATATTGTTGTTGTTGTTGTTTATTGTTATTGAGTCAAGCATGACTCATAGCAATGCTATGAATAAAAGGCCTAAAGCTTTTTTATAACTATTGTCATTTATCAAAGTTCATAGTTTCCAGAAGCATGTTGTTTAGGAAGTGGATGTCACTCCTGCTTCCAAACCTGTCTTAAAATGGGAGCTCCATCAAACGCTGTCCACCACGGATAACCATTATGGCATTTGACATCCCAATGGCACAAGGTTCAGCATCACAGCAACCCCAGGTTACCTCAGTACAGAATATTGAAAGAAGAGTGCTGACCACTTACAAGAATGTTTCTCCAAAATTTAGTAACAATCAACTTTAAATATAAAGGCCCTCTCTGCAGTCTGGTTGACTCTAAACAAGAAACTTAAATGAAAAACAACCAATATAGTATGTTGTTGGTATGAGCCATTGAGTCACCTGTGATGTATAGTGACCTTACATACAGCACCTCTGAACCCTTCCCTGTCCTGAGCCAGTTTCACTAATTCCAACACAACTCCCACTGCCCCAGATACTGTACCAATTCATCTCATTTAGGGTCTTCCTCTCCTGCACTGTCCCTCTACCCTTCTGAGCCTGATGTCCTTCTCTAATTAAAAAAAACAAACACAAAAAACAAAACAATACAAAACCAACCCAAACTAAACAAAAATAATGTAGCTGTTTTCCTATGTGGGAACATAAACAACACTGCATTGTGAATATGGGGAAGAACTGTCTGAAAGGAACATTAGATATGATAACAATCTGGAACAAAGAAGTGTATGGCAAAGTGGACTGCGGGAGGGGGAAGAAGGGAGGGAACAATGAAATTGAAGACTCAACTTCTCTGTAAACTTCTGTTAAAATCACAATTAAAAAACCAAAACTGTATTTTAGTCTCATGGGACAACACAGTTTTGCCACAAGTTCATGATCTGCATTTTAATGAGGTGTGTAGCATCTGAGTTCTTAAAGGTTTGTGAACAGCCATTTAAGACACAACTACTAATCAATTTTTGTTGTACTGAAAGAGAATGTGAGAAATCAAGGATAAATGACAGCCTCATCTGTGCTGAAGCCAGAAGAATTAGATGAAGGCTGGCTGTAGTTAATTTTTATCAGGGTCACAATAGATGGCTCTGGGTAGGATGGGAGAAAATCAGAACTCATAGTTTTAAAAATGTTCAGACTTTCTGAATCTATTGAGACTAGAGGTCTCTGGGAGAGTATTTCCTCAAGATATTTAATCCTTTAACCAAAATTATCCTTCAGGTCATCTTTTAATAAAGTAACAGATTGGCAAATGACATGTCTCATAAATAAGGTTTACACTGAAAAACCATCTGTATAAAGCTAAAAGGTCAATAATTACTCAAAAGAAAAATGAGGTGACAAAGGGGTTAGGGACAAGGGAACTATAGTAGTAGAAATGGGCTAACCAGAACACATTTTATGTGGCAATGTTGACATATTGCTAATAGTGTAACTAATATCACTGAAAAACTTGTCTAGAAATTATTAAATGGTTACCTAATTTGGTCTATAAACTTTCACCAAAAGAACAATAAAGGATTATTTCTAAAAATCACAATGGTCGTGTATTCTTTCAGATCATTATAAAAGAAACTTGGTTGGCAAAGACATTTTCATAAACTCATAGGTTTGTGCGGCTTCCTACAATTCTACTACCATTTAAGAAATTTAATAATATCTCAACAAATTCTTAAAGATGAATGATTTATTTATTTGAATTATAAGTGAACTAAAAGACTTAACTAAAACTTGGTAAACTAAAATTAGTTCATTATAATTATTCAACAAGAGTTCTAATTCAGTGTTTTCACTAGAAATGTGATTGTCACAAGGCCCTTGATAATAGTAAAAATATGTTACAACACTTAAGTATATTCAAGATAGTTAGAATATCCTGATATTGTGAAGGAAAATGTATGGTCAGGACATTGTTCTCTTAGTTTTAACTACTGTAGTCCTTTGTTTAGGGCTATATTTAACCTCTCATTAGCAATCTGTTTTCAGTTTTACAGTGTGAAGTGATGCAGACTTGCACCAATGTTAATTTGGAGTTTTTCTACAACAGAACTTTCAGGACTACGCACAGATGTATTTACAATTCCTTTAAGACTTGCTTGTTGTGTCCATAATGAATTTGCTCTTTGTGAGTTTGTTCTTGTTGTTTGAGTTCCATTTACTTTCTCCCAAATAGTTAATATTCTGAAATTATGGGTAAGGAATTTTTGTACACATAGTCTTATGAAAACCTTGGTTTTATTATTTGTTGGAATGCTTCATATAGAGATACAATAACACACTGTGATACTCTGTCTTGAAAGAGAAGTTCTTTCGTTGCATTTTATTAAAAAAAATAAAGAAAATAACAGCTTACCTTGTTGCCAAAGGGTGTGCTACACAAATTGTTTTCATTTGGGGATGTTTCATTGGCTAGAAATAGAAACTCTATTAGCGTCTCATCAATCATTCAAATAGTTAATGATTTATTTATTCAATATTTTTCAATAATATATTTAAAATGTAAGATACAGATAAAGAAAAAAGGATTAAATGATATATTGAAAGAGCACCCTTGATAAATGTGCTATTTATGTGTGTGTGTATTCTTATATATAAATTTTACTTCCAATTGAGTTCAGAAACAATCTTTTCAATACCTCTGAATAACAATCTCTGCTTGATCACTATTTTCTTTACCCTTTTAGATTGCTGCGAATACCCTTTCTCCTCCTCCATTTTATTTTCTCTTTTCTCCACTTACCAAGATTGGCTAATTACAAAACATACTTTACCAAAACGTGTTCATGCTTGGACTTATGCTACTTGGGTTTATAGGTTAGTGGAAATAATGAATATACTTGAATGTTAATTGAATGACTAGAGATTAAATTCTACCAATAGACATCTTGGCAGAAAATTGGGTGATCTAAAACCCCTATAGAGCACAAGATGCTATTATACACAAGGTCACCATAAATTGGAATAGACTTGATAATTGGTCCATTATTTGTGATCCTTTTATGTTCAAAATGGCCTTTTCATTTTCTGATTCATCAATATGGCTTAGACCATTGCTAATCCATACTCACAGTCAATGTTTTGGCATAGGCTATAACCTAATGCTTCTAGTTTACTTGTGTCTAGCTGGCCTTCTGACATTTGACACACATTCCTCCCCTTATCATCCATCACCAATTTCAATGAATTGTTCTCTTGAGTATTATTCAAATTTCACTTCATTTGCTCTATTAGTAACCACCAGTTATCAAGCATCAGCCTTATTTACATCTATCATCATCAATCTTCATGAAAATTAATGATGTTAAGAAATATTATTCACATTTTACATTTTAAGGAAACCTATGTAGAATGCTTACATGACTCGACAAAATCTAAAGTAGATGTGAAGACCCAGGACAGTGCAATCAAAGGTCAATGCACATATAATAATGCTCCCTTCGGAAGGGGGAAGATTAAGGGCTAGGTTTAACCAAGAGATTGGTGATTGGATTTCATTCAGTGGCTCAGTAGGATCTACTTCCATGAAGATCACAGCCTAGAAAATCCCATGAAAAAACTATACACTATTAAGTGCACCACATGCTTGATCTATGACATATAACATCACTGCTACCACAGCAGAATCATTTTGTATTTATCCCAGGTGTCAAATGGTTTTGCCTGTAAATATAAAATCTATGTGAGTTTTTACACTGAACTCCTTAACCATACCTTGTTAACATGGAAAATAGGTTTACTATGCATTTTACTCCAAGAACTTACCAGCTGCATGGTGTACTATAGTGAGTTTATCTGGAAGGGGGGGAGGAAGGAGAGCACATTAATGAGTATTGTTTAACATACAGACTAAACTACCTACTTATTATATTACTTGACTAGTTATCATATTCAAGTTATGAAATATCACAATATGACTTCAAAATATTCTTCCAGCTATTAAATAGGTCACCATATCTTTTATTATTTTTATCTATTTTGTTCCTGACACTTAGTTAAAGGTATTTAGAATGGTGATGTTTAGATACAATCCACACTTAACAAGATCTTGTTGCTTATTTTGAAACTCTTAATTTGAACTTTCTGGATCATTTAACATTCTACCCAAAGCATCCTTAACTATTGCCACCCCTGGGTTGAATTTGTTTTTAACTCCTTCAGCTTAAGAAATGCTGAGTGAGTTTGGTCCTTTTGATTTTCTGACTCCAGCTCTCTACACATTTCATTATAGTATCTTGCTTTGTCGTCCTGAGCTACCTTTTGAAATTTTCAGTTCAACTCTTTGATTTCTTGGTTTCTTCCTTTAGCTTCTGCTTCTCGGTGCTCTAATGCAATATTCAGAGTCTCATCTGACATTTATCTTGGTCTTTTCTTCTTCTTCTTCTTCTTCTTCAGCCTTTGTAATGATCTTTTTGCATTCTTCATGGATGATTTTCTTGATATCCTCCCAGAGCCTATTTGGTCATTAAAAGAAGATGGAAGGAGTACACAGATTCACTGCATCAGAAGGAATTGGCTGACACAGAAGAATTTCATGAAATAACATATGAGCAAGAGCCTGTGGTGATGAAAGAGGATGTTCAAGTTGTTATGAAGTAACTGGCAAAAAACAAGGCTCCAGGAGTTGACGGCATACCAATTGACATATTTCAACAAACAGACATTGCCCTGGATGTGCTCACTAAGTTGTACCAAGAAATCTGGAGGACAGCTATCTGGCCAACTGACTGGAAAAGATCAACATTTGTTCCCATTCTAAAGAAAGGTGACCCAACAGAATACGGAAATTATCGAACAGTATCATTAATATCACATGCAAGCAAGATTCTGCTGAAAATTATCCAAAACGATTGGAGCAATATGGCAGAGAACTGCCAGATGTGCAGGTTGGATTTAGAAGCGGTCATGATGCTTGGGATATTATAGCTAATGTTAGATGGATCTTGGCAGAAAGCAGAGAATACCAGAAAAATGTCTATCTGTGCTTCATTGACTATGCAAAGGCTTTTGACTGTGTGGCTTACAACAAGCTATGGCTGACTCTGTGAAAACGGGAATCCCAGAACATTTTATTGTGCTAATGTGAAATGTATACTTGGACCAAGGGGCAGTCGTCAGAACAGAGCAAAGAGACACTACATGGTTCAAAAGCAAGAAGGGGGGTCCGTCAGGGATGTATTCTGTCTCCATATCTTTTCAATCTGTATGCAGAATAGACGATCCGTGATGCTGGGCTCTGCTAGGAGGAATGGGGCATCAAGATTGTTGGAAGTTATCAACAACTTGCATTATACAGATGATGCAACCCTGCTTGCTGAAACTGAGGAAGGCCTGAAGCACTTGC